GAAAAAAAAAATTGAAATAGGTTTTTTTTCCCCCAAGCAATATCTAATCACTATTGCATATGCCCAACAGCAACAGGATTAAAGAAATGACTGATCCATTTAAAATGAACATGTATCATGTAGGTGAACAACCTTCCACCCATAGTCCACATTATATCTGAGGATTCATCGAACACTTCCAAGCAAGTGATGTGACATTTGCTAGAACCACCTTTTACCTCAAAAATCAAAGTTTCAAAAGATGGTTCTAGTAAAATCTCAATTAACAACATAATTGAAAAATAAACTTGTATCCAGCTACGAAGAAAAAGGTGGTGAGAGTGAGCAGACCAGTGCAGTCTGTTCTCAGCATTTTTTCTAGCAAAAATCAAGTGTTTGGAACAATGTGAAATACAGAGGGTGGAATATGATGTCAATGGAGCGGCCTTAGACTTACTCAAGAGCAGACATCAAAGACTTGTGAGCGTTGTTGGATGCTGGATAAAACAATTAATACAGGGTCACCAGACAGATCTATTTTACCTGAGAAGACTGTGCTTTTTAAATGGCTTCTCTTATGATTAACTCAGCATTTCTAAACAGTGAGAGCCATAACAATCTATCTAACCTGAAAGATTGACTCAAACAAAAAAGACAAGTCAAAGCACTGATACAAAATCGATCAGTCTTTCTAATGTTTGGCAGCGCTAGGAAATAGTAAGTGAGGCAGTCTCGCTTGAAATAATCTGTGCAATGTTGGCTGATGTAAAGAAATAAACTTATGTGTTTTAACAGTTTGAAACCACAAGATGATCAGGAGTTAGTAAAGGATTTCGGCTTATTTCCTTAAAAAAGTGGGAATTTTGAATATGGACAGATAGTTTAGGGTCGCAAACTGTAAGAGATGCTTTCCATCACTCTCTTGAGGGAATTAAAACCAGAGGAGCACCACAGCCAGTAGAACCTGAGGAAACACATCCCTCTAGTGGCAAAAGTCTGCCAGACAAAGGGAGTACCCTCCGCTTTCCCGACGGGTTGTCAAAAGTGGGGTAGAAAAATAGCTGTGCAGTTCTGAAAATGCCTGGCAGGTACCTGTGTGGATGTCCTCAGGTGCAACTTGCCTTATTCACCTTCTGTGTCTCTTAATTTGTTCTTGGTTAATAAGGGTTGCATGCACATTTCCACTTCAGAGTTTTTATATAAACTCTTTTGGATTGCTTTTAAAATTCCAATTCACCCTGCAAAAGAAGTGTTTGAGTTATCCTAAAAGTTACCGGAAAGTTTTTTTACCCTTTTCACCTCCAACATTGCTTATGTGGCCTCTCTGTGCTAAATGCATTGGAAGTATAAAGTTTGAAGATTTCATCTTGAGATTTTGCTGTCAAGATTTTCATTTTTATGTACTAAGAGTTGTGTAATCACACAGCAGAAGATGGTATCTGTTCACCCAGCAGTGATTAGATGACCCATAAAACTCATTAACTAATGTCAACCTATACCATTCTCCCTGGCCTGATCCTTGCTCTTCAGACATCTAGCACTCCTTTCGTAACAACCTTCATTCAGCAGTTGCCTATTTTTCCCTTGTTCATCTTACTATGCCTGTTACAGGAAGCAGAAAGCTCTCCAACAACAGTATCAATAACTTGAATATATTGCTAAAAGTATCACATATACAGCAGTCAGTAGGAAAATACTTAGTTTAATATTTGTCCACTTAGGTTCTTCCTTTTCAGGAGAAGTTTTACATGACAGAGCATAGACTTTAGCCTAGGAACTGTGGGGGTATTTTCAAGAGTACCTGAAAGACATAGGCTTATAGAAACCCCTAAAAATCACTAAAACTTGAATTTATACACACCACACACTTTTAAATGTTTAAGAACCTTTCCTTTGCTTTCTACATCTGACAGTACAGACAGTCACGGGTTTAGGGAAGCACTTCTGTCTTAATTCTGCCTTCTGAAAACACAGGAGATATCCGAGGTAATAAAACCAAAGCTTTGTTAAAATTAAAGCCTATCTATCTTCCCCACAACTACTTGGAATGCAGTATTACCAGCTGGTTTCACAGATATTAAGTCACAAAGCTCATTCTACATTGATGTTCTGGAGAAAAGGAGTAACTGTCGGCAATTGACATAAGGCATTTTCTCCGATCTGAACAGCTGTACCAGCTCCACTGCCACACAGTTTCTTTCAAATTATCAGAATCAACAGAAACATTGTTTATTTTTATTCATTTCCATCAGTAAACAGCAGGATGTATATTACATAGCTCAGTCACAACTTGTCAGTATACATTTAAGACCATGCATACTGTCTTAACATTGTTTAATTGTCAGGTGTGGATTTCATAGAATTATCAACAAGATTTTTATCAGGTGTTTCATAATGATACCAAGGTCCATCTCCCCTGTGTCTCATCAGTCTGCGTGCCTCCAACTCCATCAGCCTACAGAAAGAAGAGAAACAGACAAGCTCAACATGAAGCTTAGTAGTTTTGATCATACATATATCAATGTTTAACATCAGGGTACTACTGACAACAGCAATGAGTTCAGTATCTGTGGTTTATAAACACAACTGAAACATAGGTGATACCGAAGGAGGGTTCAACTAAAATATGAGGTAGTAAATGTTTTTCAGCAAGTCATCTCCCAAGAGAGTAATAAAAACACTTGCAGGAATTCTGTCACAGGTTCTTGCTTTGTAAGGGGCTAGACAGTTTTGATACAGCTTTCAACTAAACATAAATAGGAGCAAGAAAATCAGGAGTAAATGGGATGGTAGAAGGAGCTATGCTGTCTTGGTCCTAACAGCAACAGTTTGTGGAACTCAGATTTTCTTCTACCATCACAGTTTACTCAAAGTATAGAATAAACTCAGTACAACAATGTTGTTCCTGCCCATTTCAACAACAAGGAACATGACCAGTCCTGTAAACTGTCATTTAGCTACTCACTTAAGCTCTGAGCATTAGCAGTGGCAGAGAGAGCTGTCCATTGCCCGACTGAGGGAGACAGAGCTATACCTTCATAAATACGAACTGTTTGGAAGAGACACTGTTGTTTTCCAAGACTGCCCTCGGATCGTTCCAGTTCTGGTAACCTTAATACTGAGAAGGCAGGGACTACAGATACTGTCACTTCCACTTTGGCACCAGCCAGTGCAGCAAGCACTCGAGGTCAAGTGATACATGAATAAGCACATTATATCAGCATCCAACTCAGTTATGTTAAGCAAAATAAAAGAGTTAACTATAGTATGTATCAGTATTTTAAAACCCTCAGCTATATAACATACCTCAGTTGAGTTTTCTTTGCTTCAACATCAAGCACAGCCATCTCTTTCTCATAGTTCTTTTCAGGGGGGTCAAGGAAGTAACGAGCTATCCAGCGACTTATAGGGTGCTGGAAAATACAAAAGCAGAGATAGATTATTCATGCAATTTTCAAGTAGAAATGTCACCAGAACTAAATTATTTTATATGTTCCCAGTCCTGGAAATACATCATCAATGCTATGGGTGCTGCTATCCAAACTGTAAAAGTTAAACACATGCTCAACTATTTGTAAGATCAGAACCCTAAAAAGCTGTATTTCTTTTGCCATTTTTAATGCCAAGATAACCTGCAGATGACTATTCTGTAGCAAAATTTAAAGTTAAAGAAAATAACTTTCATGTATTCCATTATGTTGAAGTAAAGTTCCTTAAACTGCCACTATCATCACAGAAATGGACTCCAAACCTCTTACCGTAATCAGTAACATCTCAGTTTTGCTTCCACATAGAGGTCATTTCACTTGGAACAAAACTCTTAATGAGCTGAAACAGTCATAATAGTATCGCTGAATTCAATTACTTCCTATCAAAACTAAAAAAGTGCTTACAGCAAGAAGCCAGGGACTACTTTTAAGAAAATAAAATTAAATGAAAAAAGTATAACCTTGAGTTTCTGACTAGAAAAATCTTCAATTCTAGAAACAAAAGCATGTGTGATGTTAGGATTTGAAACAACACTAGCAAACAATACAAGAGAAAGTAACGCCACTGTAAACTCCAGGATCACAGAATGTTGGGGATTGGAAGGG